AAAAAAAAAAAAAAAAAATAGCTGAGCATGGTGGTACATGCCTGTAGTCCCAGCTACTCAGGAGGTTGAAGTGAGAGAATGGCTCGAACCCAGGAGGTCAAGGCTGCAGTGAGCCTTGATTGTGCCACTGCACTCCAGCCTGGGCAATAGAGGGAGACCATATCTCTTTTAAAAAACAAAAACAAAAATCAAAGTGTGCACCAGGCAAGTCATTTAGATTTTCTGAGTTCCTAAAGTGATTCTGAAGAGTGGGTGTCTCAGTGTGGCCCCTACAGTCCCTTTTGAGTCCCCAGGATCCCTTCAGGTCAAAACTATTTCATAGTAAAACTAAGACATTATTGGCCTTTTCCACGGTGTTGACAAATATGTTGACATTGGAAGATCTTAATGAGTCAGTAACCAATGGATGATGTTGAAAGTCATACATGGGTAAATTATTTATTGAAAGTACTGCTGGGCACAGCGGCTCACACCCATAATCCCAGCCCTTTGGGAGGCCGAGGTGAGAGAATTGCCTGAGCTCATGGGTTCAAGACCAGCCTGGGGTACTTGGCAAGACCTCATCTCGACAGTAAATCAAAAAAATTAGCTGGGCATGGTGGCGCACACCTGTAGTTCCAGCTACTTAGAAAGCTAAGGCGGAAGGATCGTCTGAGCCCAGCAGGTGGAGACTGCAGTGGCCAGGATGTGCCACTGCCCTCCAGCCTGGATGACAGAGTGAGACTCCAACTCAAAAAAAAAAGTACATAGACCTGTCATAGAGCAGGAAAAGTTCATTATTGATGTAGTCTTAGATTGCAAAACTAACCTTTAAAGAACTACTACTTGTCAAGATTTGGTATAATATCGAAGACAAATACCCATAATTACCTGAAAAGGCTGTTAAAACAGTACTTCTCCTTTTTCCAACTGCATATGTAGATGAGGCTGGATTTTCTTCAATGCTCAATAAAACAAGGCAGCACAGTAAATTGAGAAGTAGAGTAAATGCAGAACCCAGTTGTCTCATACTAAGGAAAATTGCAAAAATATAAAAAAATACCACTTTACCATTTTCTTTGCTGTTTTTGAAAATATAATTTTTTTTCACAGAAATGTGTCATGAACATGTAATGGGTTTATTGTTGTTTTTAATTAATAATTTTTTTTAGGCTGGGCACAGTGGCTCATGCCTGTAATCCCAGCACTTTTGGGAGGTTAAGGCAGGAGGTTTGTTTGAGCCCCAGAGTTTGAGACCAGCCTAGGCAATGTAGTGATACTTTGTCTCTACAAAAAATTTTAAAAATTACCTGGGCATGGTGACATGTTCCTGTAGTCCCAGCTACTTGTGAGGCTGAGGCAGGAGGATCACCTGAGCCCAGGAGGTTGAGGCTGTGGTGAGCCATTATCATGCCACTGCACTCCAACCTGGGTGACACAGTGAGACTCCTGGCTCATAAAAGTAGATAAATAAATAAATAAAATATTCTAAAAACGGCTCGGTTTTAATTTCTGATGTGGTAAATATGAGTTAAAATCCACATAGGCATTTAATTATTGTCCTCAACAATTTTAAAGAGTGTAAAGGGGTTCTAGGACCAAAATAATTGAGAACCTCTACCCTAAAATATTGAAACACATTATTTAGTTAAGACTTTGAATTAAACACATTTGGAACTCACATGAGGCACACCCTGAACTAGACCTGTAGGTGATTATATTTCCTTCAGATTAATTTTGTGAATCATCATATGGCATGTATGGAAGGAAGGCGGTCTCTATCTGGTGGCTTATTAGAAGCAGACTGGGTTTTTAACTTTGTTGTGTGTGATCACAGTAGGCTT